CCTGGGATGCCCTGATGCTGTGTGTAACCCCCAACATGAATGGGTGAAGATGGCTGTTTGCAGCTTGCACCACTTCTTCCATAAAGTGGTGCACATGCACAGATGTAAAGTCATACGCACACCCCCTGCATTCAGAAAATTACATTTGTATGCATGTGCCACTTAACACACAGAGCAGCACATAGCTGTGTACAGCTTCCTTCACTCATTCATGTTTATATGCAGCTGTACACAACACCAGGAATTCCCAGGCACCCAAATATACCAGTGCATTTGTGATGTACGGGCAAATGTGCCCATGTGAATGAAGTCTTAGACTGTACACCCCTTGAGGGTTAGGGACTAATGTGAATGTACAATATATATGTAAAGCGCTGCGTAAATTGACGGCGCTATATAAGTACCTGTAATAAATAAATAACTCACATTGACCAACCTGAAGTCAGCCTTCCTTAGTTTACCTGCCCTAAAATGCAGTATGCTAATGTCCTACTGATTGCCTTAGTTTACTGCACAGAATTGCTGTTTGCCCTTACTGAAAAAGGCCTGTTGTATGCATAACTGGTTTGGCTTTGTATTTTATTGCCATATGTAATCCATTCATAGAACTTTATCCTCCCTAGAACAAAAGTGACACATGTTGCGGCTCTGTAAATGAATATCTGGTGTTTCTCCATGGCATTCAATGGCTACCACATTATTCCAACATGCTCCTGATGTACAAGGTCCAATGAACAGAACACATCAAAGATTTTTAATGTTGGCAACCTTTCATTTTCTTTAGAAAACACATGCAAACAATATTATGTTGTTAATTATCACTATTAAAACAATAACTCCTCCATCTTTTTTTTTTACAGAATTTCAGCAGCTGTATGGCCTCTGTTCTTTTTTTTTCTATTAATGTGAATGGATAGAAGTCCTTACTTAAACTTTACTTGCTTAGAATTATCCTTTAGAAGACTCTCCCCCTTCCCCAAGGCTGTATATTCACCAGTCCATGATCCTGGCAGATCCATTCTGTGTGGCACTTGGAGAAATTGCACAGCCCTTGCTGGAAACCCTTTCATCTGTCCCTGAAGTCTTCTGCTCATGTGCAGGCAGTTCTTAGCCCTCTGCCTGTCTTTTTTTGGGCACAGCTTCCAGAGTTCAGTTCTATGTTAAGCTTCTTTTGCAAACAGATTGGAATCAACTATCATTAGCAAACTGGATAAAGAAATCTTGCACGTGAGATGTATCCTTACTGCCAATGTCAACCTAAATTGTATTTGTCAATGTCTGAAAGTATGTTTAATGTAAAGTAAATCTGGCCATGGAGCCTATTTTTAAATTACAGTTAGCCTGGCATCACACTATGTGGTGCAGGACACCGCATTTCTGTGCGAATTACATGCAAATGTTTGAGTGTTGCGATTTGAGCCATACATTTTGTATGGCTCAAATTGCATCCACACCAAAAAAAGGGGCAGGACCCTTTTTTAAATCTGCAGCTGAATCACATTGCATGGGTGTTCTCTCCCATATTATGCAATTTCTGGCAATTGAATTGCATTTTGTGATCTGTTTCAAGGTGTCATTAATTAATCATTCACACCCGCACCAGATCCAATGAATGCGATGCAATTGCAGTGCAGTGTTGGAAACACATAGGATTCTCAGTGTATCCTGCACTTCATTGGTGTGAACCTGGGCTTAAAGTGGAACTAAACCCTCCTATCATTTTCAGCCAAGGAAGCTGCCATCTTAGCCTCAGTTTGATCTGTAACTGGCATGGTGGTGCACATGTGATAAGTTATGACTCCAGCCATTTGATGGTTTGACAGTTTGGTTCAGAACACAAGCAAATGTGGCAGTTAGCCTTCCTGGGATATATAAAAGTTCTTTTAAACCATTAAATCGATGGATTTAGTTCCTCTTTAAACAGTTGCTTTTGAATGAAATACACTTTGCCCAATCTTGCAACAATAGCCTTGCCCACGTTGCTACCTGAGTGTTCGGCGGTCCATTGGTGGGCTCATCATAGGGTCCTTATAGCTCCAATAGTGGTGTGATGATGTCTTGACAAGGAGTGGAAAAAAAGACCTTTTGGCAGGAGATCTGGACTGCATTGGTGGATCATTTGTCTTCATTCATGGAATAGACTAGGTAAGAAAGCATGTTAAAAAGGGTTTGGAAGTTTTTTTGTTTTTTTAAGGAGTTGGATTTTAACATTTTTCCCAGAGATTGGTATAACAATATTGGTGTTGGGCACATTTGGTGTTGGTCACATTTGTTCAGTTTAAGGCTCTCAACCATTAAGAAAGAGAAATCTTAGGCAGCCAGATCTGCACTTGTATGGGCAAATTATAGAAAGCCTGACATTACAGAAATATGACAGCAGCCATTTCCAGCTTAACACTTGTTTTCTGGCTGTTATGCTGAGCATCTGGCTTTAGTACTTTCTGACTCAGTGACATGGAACAGGTACAGTATGCATATCAGGAAAGTTGGAATAAAGTCACAGTTCCTGTCTGCATATTTGCTCAAGCATATATTGAAGTTTTGAAACATGGCAGCCAGGCAATTAGCATTTCTAAATTCAGCCATCAACAATAGCAGCCTTCCTGTTTCTCTTATGAAACATTTACTTTAATTAACTGCAATGGTTGAGAAGTCACAGTCCCTAAATCTTATCACACCCACATAGATGCAACTGTGAGGTTTCCATTTGTTGCCATTATAACAATTGTATGTAGGGAATTTTGAAAAGCACACCCTTTTTGATGGCAAACTGTGATTGTTTTTTCAACCCAACATGAAAGGTCAAAGAACATTTGGGCATGGCAATAATCTCATCAGTATAACAGGAATCTGGTTGATTGTTAAAATCCAACTACAAAAAAAAAAAAACACTATGAGGGAGATTTACTAAAACTGGTGCACACAGAATCTGGTGCAGCTTTATATAGTAACCAATCAACTTCTAGGATGTATATTCAAAGCTTAACTGAACAAGCTGAATTAGTAGCTGATTGCTTACCATGTACATTTGCACCAGATTCTGTGTGCACCAGTTTTAGTAAATGTGATTTTCTTTTGTTCAGTAAATCTCACCAAAACACTGCATGGATGTGTGATGGCTCCAATTATATCTTTTGCTACAGACAACTGATTTACAATTCATTGCTGGTTCACCTAAAATCAGTTGTAAATTCTACCAAAATCTAAACATGTGGACAGCCGAAGATTGGGTTCCATTTTTTTCTGTTAAGCTGAAGCACAGCGAGCGTGAGACAGTGACTACTACTACTATAACCAACCACCAAAGAAAAACCCAAAATAATTTCTCCTGCTCCTGACGATTGCAGCGATACCACATATGTGTATGTTAGTTGTTGTTTGTACCCGTAGTACAGCCCAGAAGCAATAGTGCGCATTTTGCTTTTTTTTATTCTGCCACTAACTGACACTGATACTAATTTTTTTTTTTTTTTAAATACTGACAAAAAAAAAAAAATACTGACCATGAGCTTTGACCCTGATCTTTACCTCTGACCCTGACCTTGACTCAAACACTAACCCTGGCACTGACCTAGATCAAACCTTGATCTATGTATTTTTATTTATTTAATAATTATTGTTTTGTATTTATTTATTTACAAACACTTTTTTTTCTCTCTGAAAGGACAGAGAGAGATACAATGTATCTCTCTCTTCCATTCAGAGAGAGAAAACAAGGGGGGGGGGGGCGGGCTTCACAATGACTGATAACTGTGATATGCAATCAGAGTCTTTCACAGCGATCATTTTACCTGGAATCGGGAGTTCCAGGTCCTGATCATTAGAACAGGACTCGGGGCTTTCACTGACACCTTGGTCTTTGTTCTGGGAGCGCGCCGCACAAAGACTGGTACACAAATTAGAGGCCCCACAGAAAAAAGTCCAGTCCAGTGGGGCCACTAATTTGCATACGCTCGGCGCCAAGCGGTTTAAGTGGATGTAAACCTTTACATATACCAAGTGAAGTGACTGGCCTCCGGTGATACACAGATGAAACAAATCCTCCTACAGAAGTTGTAAATGTCTATCTGTAGCCCTCTCTTCTCTACATCTGCTCAAACTCCAGAATTTTTTACAGCTGAACCTGAATGTTCAGAAAGCAAGGGGCAGAGAGCTGAAGGCTGCAGAGGAGAGCTGATTGGAGGAAAGGGACACACCCCCTTCACACAGCACACAAGAAGAGAGCTGAAGCTGTCAATCACAGACTGTGTAGTGTATTGGAAGTCCATCCCCTGTCACCTTTTTTCTCTTGGTTTCAGGAAAACTTGTCAGAAGTGACTCATGCTGATAGCAGAGAAATGAGACAGCAGAGAGAAATGACACTTAGGTGTCCGTTTATGAACCAGCGGTAATAGATCGCTGCTCAGTTCTCCGGCATTCTCGGAGAACACAGATCTCCTGTGAATGCAGTTTATGAAGCAGTGTAGATCAGTTCTCCAAACGAAGGGAGAACGGTCTACGAACGCTGGAGAACGGTCTACAAACACTGGAAAACGGCTGATTTTACTATAATCTGGCGAGATTACAGTAAAAGATCAGTTTACTAAGCAGAGGTAAATATCGCTGCTTAGTTTGCAGTCCCTCCGATTCTCCAGCTCTGGGCTGGAGTATCTGGAGGGAGAACGCAGATCACCAGTGAAGGGCTGAACATGTTCTCCGCTGAGCTCCTGAGTGTCATAAACTGTGAATGACCAGAGAATAACTGCAATCCCCTGAATCGCAGCTATTCTCTGTGTCATAATTGGACACCTTAGTGCTCTGATTTGGGATAAGTACACACTATAGAGGGATATGGTTTGTTCATATTTCATGTCCGAGGTTTACAACCACTTTAACCACCTTCCGCCCGCCCTATAGTACAATGACGGGCGCAAGGTGGTTCTCTCGTTCTGATCGAATGTCATATGACGTCCTACCATTCTCACTGCGCATGCGCAGCTTAGGGAGCGTGCAGTGCGGCGATCGCCGGTCCACTGTGTCCCTCGGACACAGCGGATCACAGAAAGAGCCGAAGGTGTCGGCTCGGCCATGTGATCAGCTGTGTCCAATCACAGCTGATCACATGTAAACACGGAATGCCGGTTATTGGCAATTCTCTCCTCTCGAGCTGTCACGCTGACAGTTCGAGAGGAGAGGAGAGCCGGTAATCGGCATTTCTGCGGAGGGGACATGTACACTGATCATCAGGGCACTGATGATCAGTGTGCCCTGATGATCAGTGTGGCCCCAGAAGTGCCACCTGTCAGTGCTCACCAGTGCCCATCAGTGCCACATATCAGTGCATACCAGTGCACATCAATCCACATATCAGTGCCCATCTGAGCTGCCTTTCAATGTCACCCATTAGTGCCAGTCAGTGCCACCTATCAATGCCAATCAGTGCTGCCAATCAGTGCTGCCTATCAGTGCCAGTCAGTGCTGCCTATCAGTGCCAATCAGTGCCGCATATCAGTGCCGCCTATCAGTGTCATGTATCAGTGCTGCCTTTCAGTGATGCCTGTCAATGCCCATCAGTGCAACCTACCAGTGCCTCCTCATCAATGCCACCTATCAGTGCCCATCACTGCAGCCTCATTAGCGCACATCAGTGAAGGAGAAAAAACACTTATTTACAAAATTGTATAACAAAAACTAAGAAAAAACTTTTTTTTTCAAAATTTCAGTGGTTTTTGGTTTGTTTAAGAAAAAATAAAAATCCCAGAGGTGATTAAATACCACCAAAAGAAAGCTCTATCTGTCTCAAAAAAATTATAAAAATTTCATATGGGTACAATGTTGCATGACCGCGCAATTGTCATTCAAAGTGTGACAGTGCTGAAAGCTGGAAATTGGCCTGGGCAGGAAGGGGGTATTAGTGCCCTGTAGGCTAGCGGTTAAATACACTTCTAAAATGCTTGCATTAGCTTGCAAAACTCTCAAATAAAAACACCTGAAATTTACTCTGCTCAGGTGTGAATGCAGCCTAATGAACTTGATAGAGATGATTCAATAAAACATTTGCAACATTTTTCTGGTGAAATGTCTTGTGTCTAATTTATGAAAGCATTGCGACAGTTTTGTTAATAGTTCCTACACCTGTAACTGATTGACATAATTCTTAATTGCGTTAGCTGAAGAATATAGCTTCAACAGATCTGTAAAGAATTTCCGACAGTTCATAGATAAGCAGAATAGTGGTAATTAAAACCTCGAAGTTGGGTACAGAGACATGCATGTGTTTGGTGCTTGTTTGCTGGGCATGTGTTGGATGTTGTCAGCTGTGGTCACATAATTTCATTTGCTAGGACACAGGCTCACTTTGTTGCTAGGACACAGGCTCACTTTGTTGCTAGGACACAGGCTCACTTTGTTGCTAGGACACAGGCTCACTTTGTTGCTAGGACACAGGCTCACTTTGTTGCTAGGACACAGGCTGCCAGCATACTAGCAAACAATGAATCTGGGCTGAACATTGACAATAGATGGAGCCTGATGGGGATGCTGAGACTATTTCCTCAGAAGGTCCACCTCCCTGGTGATTGACAGCAGTTGACAGTGGGCGGATACCATAGCCGCCATTGGACTGTTTAACAGCTATGGAATCAGCTCACTGCTAAAGATGTGCACGACTGAACCATTTGTTTTCTTTCGGATTCATTTGTTAGGTTAATAATTTCATTTGGTCATATTCGTTATGTGAGAATGATTCCTTTTTGGAATTTCTTTCATATATTCAGATTAGTTTCATATATTTGGATTCAGTTAGTATAATCAATTTGATTTAAATTTCGGAAGATGGCTATATTCATCCTAATGTGTTAATCCATTATTTCGGAAGATAATACTTATGCACTCTGGATTGGATGGTGGTGGATTCATCAGAATCTCTGAATCATAACATACTAAATAAAACAGAATTGATTTCGGATTCATTCTTTATGTTATGATTCAGAGATTCTGATTGATCCACCTTCACCCAACCCAAAACAATAAAGGCCTTTTCACACTGAGCAGTTTTTGATCAGTTTTTCAGTTAAAAAAAGTTGAAGCAAAATGCATGGAAAATGAATGCCTTTAAATCCTGTAAATCCTGGAACTGTTCACACTTGTCCTTTGTGTTTCAGTTGCGTTTTTAGGCTGCTTTAATACTCCATTTTATTTTTGATGCGTTTTTCCTGGACAGAGCACTTCCCACAGTTGCATTGTGTTTTTAATGCGTTTTTGCCATGTTTTCCATTCATTCAATGGAGAGGTGCATTTTTGGTGTGTTTTTTTTCCATACCAAACATGCACCAAAAATGCAGCAAGCAGGACTTTTAAAAATGCAACTGAAACACATCAAACCAGCGTGCTCCTTGGGATTTAAAGGGATGCATTTCTCTTCCACTTTTTTTAAACTGAAAAAATGATCAAAAACTGGTGTGAAAGGGCCCTTAAGCCTGGGTTTACACTGATGCGGTGCGGAATTTGCATCAGTTTCTGCATTGCATCATAATCACACCCTGTTCATGCGAACCGCTATGGGTGTGTATGTTAAGATAACACCCAGAAATCAGTTCGCAAAAAGTGGTGCGATGTGCAGAATCAGGTCGCATGGGTGCTTATGCGGTGCGATTTCAGCCATACAAAATGTATGGCTCAAATTGCATCACACAGAATTCACATGTGATTTGCAGAGGAATGTAGCACGGTTCCTGTGCGAATCACATGCGATATGCCGCACTGCAGAAGTTTGAACCCAGGCAAAGTCTTGCTTGCTGCATTTTTGGTGTATGTTTCATGCAGTAAAAAAAGTACCAAAAATGCACCGTCAGAAACAGTGACAAAAAGGCTTTGAAAACGCATAAAAAATGCATGGTACCTGGGTCTGGGATTAATAATCCCATCTCAGGCTTTGCAGATGACACCAAGCTATGCAGTGGAATAACGTCCTTACAGGATGTCTTCAATTTACAAGCTGACCTCAATGCACTGTTTAATTGTGCAACTATGTGGGAAATGAGGTTTAATGTTGATAAATGTAAGGTTATGCACTTGGGGGCTAAGAATATGCATGCATCATACATACTAGGGGGGGTACAACTGGGGGAATCAATGGTGGAGAAGGATCTGGGAGTTCTGGTAGATCACAAGCTTAATAATGGCATGTAATGCCAAGCTGCGGTTTCTAAAGCGAGCAAAATCCTCTCTTGTATTAAAAGAGGTATAGACTCCAGAGAGATATATCATATTACCCCGGTACAAATCATTAGTAACACCTCATCTGGAATATGCAGTTCAGTTTTGGGCACCAATTCACAAAAAGAACATTGGGGAACTGGAGAAAGTACAGAGAAGGGCAACCAAACTGATGCGAGGCATGGAGGAGATCAGCTATGAGGAAAGATTAGAGGAACTGAATTTATTCTCTCTTGAGAAGAGGAGATTAAGGGGGGATATGATCAACATGTATAAATACATCAGAGGTTCATATAGTGAACTCAGTGTAGAGCTATTCACCCTGGGGTCATCACAGAGGACAAGGGGGCACGCTTTACGTCTGGAGGAAAAGAAATTTAATCTCCAAACACAGAAAGGTTTCTTCATAGTAAGAGCTGTGAAAATGTGGAATAGACTCCCTCAAGAGTTAGTTCTGGGCAGCTCAGTGGATTGCTTCAAAAAAGGCCTGGATTATTTCCTAGATACACAGAAGAAAACTGGTTACTAACATTTATAGATAAAGTTGATCCAGGGAATATCCGATTGCCTCTCAGGGGATCAGGAAGGAATTTTTCTCCCTGCAGGAGCAAATTTGATCATGCTTTGCTGGGTTTTTTGCCTTCCTCTGGATCAATTGTGGTTATAGGATTATAGCTTTAATGGTTGAACTGGATGAACTTTTGTCTTTTTACAGCCAGACTATGTAATTATGTAACCTATGGGAAGTGCTGTGTCCAATCATATGTCCAGGGGAAAACGCGTCAAAAACAATGCGGTGTAAAAGCAGCCTAAAAACGCAACTGCAAGCATGGCAAAAATGCAACACACCATAGCAAAATCAGCAAAAATGCATATGCATTTTTGCTGTTTTTGCAATAGAGCAGTGTTGAAGCAGCCTAAGTAGGTATCATCTTATTTCACTTTTATACCTTACTGTATAAAACAGGGAGCCTTGAGCTTCAGTGCTGCTTGCTCAGTGTGGCACATTCTTTTTCCCCACTAGTGCAGAGATCTGTCACAAGCACCGACATTTGTGGTGCAACTGAACTCTAAAGAGTGTCTATGACATTTTTTATACATTTCAGAGGATTTTTTATTTTAGTTTCTACTAAAAGGTCATTTTTTCAGTTTTTGTTTTCTGTGGTCACGCTCTTCTAGGTCCAAGCAGTCTGTTACACAGCAGAATGTTAAGACAAGTACCATCTCATAGCATTGTGCTAATCCTCTGCATATTCATACTCTCCTTGGACCTAGAAGAAGGCAGACCCCAAAAGCATGTCCTGAAAAATGCACTGTTAGGGTCATATTAGATGGGCAATTTTGTAGCAGCGACTTCTTGATGCTACAAATTGCTAATGCCAAAGATTACCTGTAATTTTGTAGCTAGCTAACAACGTAATTGCTATAGTCTATGTCAATTGGTAGCTAAGAAGGGATTTTGGCAGGTACTGGTCGAACGTGTGCTACATCATTCTAATAGTGCTCACTGCTACAAATTGCTCTTTCATTCAATTGTAGCTCAGGCATAGAGGTGAATGCAGAGTGACTGCTGGAGGTGAGCTTGCGGATGATATGAGACACTGCACAAACTCAACTGCTCAGTGACTAGGCTACACATCGCTCTAAAATGAGCAGGTAAGTGAATCCAGAGAAAGAAAATAGGAAGGAAGGGAGCAAGGAAGGACCAGAGTAGGAGAGAATGAAAGAGAGAGAGTGAAAAAAACATAGAAAAGAAAAGTGAGGGCACAGAGAGAGAATGAGAGAGAGAGAATGAGAAAACATAGAAAAGAAAAGTGAGGGCAGAGAGAGAGAATGAGAGAGAGAGAGAGAATGAGAAAACACTGCCTGGCTTCCCTTCTTCCTCTCCTCTGAGCTACCAACCATCATCCTCGGGGACTTCAATATCCCCATCAATGACAACAGCCCGGCTACTTCCCAATTCCTCCACCTAACCTCCTCCTTCGCGCTCACACAGCACACTCAATCCTCCACCCACATCATTGGGAACACCCTGGACCTCGTCTTCTCCCACCTCTGTACCCTCAACCAGTTCTCTAACACCCCCTTCCCTCTCTCCGACCACCACCTCCTCACGTTCTCCATCTCCCCTTCCCCTAACTCCCCCCCCCCAAGAGCGCCAAACCATCACCAGCCGCAACCTTCGCAACCTGAACCCGGCCCCCCTCCACTCAGCTGCCGACCGCCTACACGACAGCATCCTTCCACTGTCTTGTCCTGACCTAGCCACTAACACGTACAACGA